TTTGCAAACAGTCAATAATATTGTAGGCACATTTTATTGTTGTTCTTTCTGTGTGCCATTATGACACATTTTCATTTCATTTAATTTCTGTTGTGCATGTATTGTTGTATAGAAGATATTTCAAAGTGATTCAATAGGTGGAAAACGAATAGCTAGATAGATAAATCGATATGTGGCGCCAACTAGTGTACCTAAATTCATCTAGACATTTTCATAAAAGTGACCCGAAAAACGGGGCTAACTCGGTAAACCGTAGCCCGATTTTAACGAAAGTTGTTTTATTCTGTTTCTCTTCTCATTTCATTACAAATATGGCGGTATTAAGAGCCGAGATTGCTGTATTTAATTACAGACAAGCACACAAACAAACAATTTCATACTTTTAGTAGTATATAGATGTATATGGGTTCTGGTTGTTTGTTTGTTTTTGCCAATTTTCGAAATAAATGGCTTTTACTTATATTTCTTAATAGTATAAATATATACTATGTAGTTGTTGGACTTAGAATTCTTCTACAGTAGGTGTCTGTGATTTCTTAACGATAAATTCAACGATGAATAAACAGCACACACTGTGCTTGTTTTCAAATAATATATATATATATTCAGAACAAGTTAAACGTATGTACAACAAAGTGCTCACACTAGAGAATATAAGCATACCGTAAACGTTATATCAGTATATGTATAGTTCTCTTCTTCTTGTCAAAAGTCCACTTACGCCTGTTTAATTACTTTAGAATCTTAGTTGACAAGCCGAACTATTACTATTGCAATATTAGTCTGGTGTGATTCACTTACGACTGTGGTCTTCTTTCTTCCGAAGATTCAATGTTCCTTTTGTAAAAGTGCACTCTGACTGATTCAATTACTTTAGAATTTCGCTTTGAAAGAAAAAAATATTTTTTTCCTTTTCCGCTGTTAGTTTCTTTCTAATACATATATATATATATATATATAACGTTAGGCCTATCACATCTACGGTACTTACTTCACACAATTATATTTTCTTTTGCTATCATCTGTCTATTGTCGTCTGTCTGCTGCTTCCCGCTCGTCTCACGCTATTAATATTTTTATTACATAGTCGTCTGGCCACTTTCTATATTCTCGACACCAATTAGTTATTAATAAAACCTTCTACAATCGTCTGCTTTTAACTGTTATTATAACAAAACTTAAAAATAATAAAGTATCCACTCACAAATATAAATTAAACACTGATGTTTAAACCCAACAGTCTTTTACATCATGACAGGCTTCACTTCATCTTGACCTCAGTTTTAAATCAAAGTTTGATATAGCTAGACTTCACTTCTCGTTGAGCTCAATCATCAATGTAAATACAATGTTTGCTGTAGCTAGGGTTTAAATTTTATTTTATCTAAATGGAAATATTAGACTCTTTTGTTTCCTCGTAATTAGCGGAAATATTAAATTTTCAATACACTGAATATTGCCAAAAATTTTCACGTTTGTCTAAAACTGTCATTTAAATTCAAGTTGTATTATAAACATAATATTCTTGCTTCTGGCCATCTAAGTTGTCTAACCTACCTTCGGATAACAAATACTATAGATAAATGTTATTATTGTTAGGTACATATATAAACTAATGTTTAAAATATATAATTACCGCTCTAAAAATGAAAGTAACCACGAATCACAAATTATGTATACCGATAAATTAACCTTATCGAGCTTTCAAGCCACGATCTTTACAAGCATTACTCTTCTGCAATAGAACTTTATATTCCACATGAGTCATTATATCGCAAACTGTACTTTGTTTTTAACTTAATGACTCACATTATTTGTAAACACTGAGCACGTGCTGTTTCTACATGAACGCAATATGGTTTACAGGATATATCGTGGCAGTTGTTTTGGTTTAGTATCACACACACACAAGCCCCGAAGGATATTTTAGTGACATCATATATGAAAGTAAAATAACCCGCAAAAAACCAATACCACTGTTTTGTGGCTTCAACTTCTAACCAATCAATAGGCCCGGCATAGCCAGGTGGTTGGGGCGCTCGACTCGCAATCTGCGGGTCGCGGGTTCGAATCCCCATCCCACCAAACATGCTCGCCCTTTCAGCCGTGGGGGCGTTATAAGGTGACGGTCAATCCCACTATTCGTTGGTAAAAGAGTAGCCGAAGAGTTGGTGGTGATGACTAGCTGCCTTCCCTCTAGTCTCACACTGCTAACTTAGGGACAGCTAGCGCAGATAGCCCTCGTGTACCTTTGCGTGAAATTCATAAAGGCAAACAAACAAATAGTCTTTTAAACTAAACTAAAACTATTAAATAAATAAATTTAAGAAAACACCTTAAAGTCAGCTCTTATCATTCATATAGTTATCAAGCTTTTTCTTAACTCACTTAAATTTACAGCCTCCACGATATAACGTATCTGTTCTATTTCACTTCTTACTCTATGCTAAAGAAAATATATTTTCCAAAAATTTTGAACATTAGACTAGAGTCTCGAAACCCACAAGATTCATTTTTACTTCTTTAGTTTGTAAGTTGAATCCAACGGAAGACAATGTGAAACCATTGTTGTATCTACCAAGAAAATCATGAACCAACAGTTCTTAAATGATAAATGTACCAGCGTGAAGAAACTAATGAAGAAGTATTGGTACAAGTCAACATAACAGACACAAGATGAGTTCATAGGTCATGTGATGAGGAAAGAAAAGGTGGAGCACATAGTAATAACCGGCAAGATAGAAGGAAAAAAAAGTAATAAAAAACAAACATTTTATAATGACAGTAAACATTTATATTTTCACATCTTATTGTATCTAAATAAAGAATTAAGTATCTTCCAAATCATAATGTAGTCAACCAGAATGAAACTATTTCTGTAAATAACACTTTTCAGCTAAAAGGAAAAAAATCAAGTTGAATCGTATTTCGCTAACCCTTGAAAATTTCACCTTTAATTTCACTGTAAGCGCTAGATGCTGAATTATGTTGTCTTTGTCTCGGTACATTAGACAGTTTTAAATATAATCCGTTGGCTTTACTGCTATGAGGAACGTGAAGGTTAGCAGACAACTAAAAATTGTGGAATTGTGAAAAGGAAAACGATAGCGTTTAGTTCAGAGAATAAATTGTATAGTATAATAGTTTGGTCTGATTTGTTTTGAATTTCACGCAAAGCAGCTCGAGGGATACCTAATTTAGTAGTGATAGATTAGAGGGAAGGCAGCTAGTCAACACCACCCACCGACAACTCTTGGGCTACTCTTTTACCAACGAATAGTGGGATTGACCGTCACATTGTAACGCCCCCACGCCTGAAAAGACGAACATATTTGGTGGGATGGGGATTTGAACCCGCGACCCTCAGATTGCAAGTCGATCGCCCTAACCACCTGGCCATGCCGGGCCTAGTTTAAAGGATTGGACAGTCGAAATGTACAAATAGATCTCTAAACATTATGTTATATTATATGTTATAAATTATAAGGATGTTATATCGTAATTACAAACGCTTCTTCTCCAATGTCATGCCCGATGCAAGTCTTGAATATCATCACTTTCCATTTTTCTCTGTCCCTGGTGTCTTCAACAGTTCTTTATCTGTATTGGCCTTCACTGTTCCTGTCCCCCCCTTCAGTGGCACAGCGTTATGTCTGCGGACTAACAACGCTAGAATCCGGGTTTTGATACCCGTGGTGGGCAGAGCACAGATAGCCCATTGTGTAGCTTTGTGCTTAATTACAAACAGACAATCACTGTTCCTAAAGGTTTTGTGAACCAACCAAACATCTTTATTCCTGTAACCTCAGCCAATCGCCTGTAAGTCACAGTACTGTTATGGTTCATTAATGCCGGGGCAATCAGGAGCCCGACCTCCAGGGTGTGTTCGGCCGCCACAGGAAATGCTACAACAGGCGAAGGAATTTTTAGAACAATACTACGTGTCAAAAAAATCGTAAGTGTTCAATTTTGTAATAGAAAAGATAGGTCTTCAGTTAGCAATAAAAATTATTATTCCAAGATACTTTAAAACATGTATTTTAATATTTTTTGTTTGACCCAGAGACACCTGCATATCTTAGGTAAAATTGTTAATATTGAAAACTGTTTAGCATTTTATTAGGATGGTAATTTTAAAGGAATGGTTATACAGTTCAGAACTGAATAATTCATGGCTGGTCTTTGAATTGCACAAAGATTTTGACAAGTTAGATGACATTATAACACAAGTACGACTTAAATAAATATCTAAAGTTAAAGATATTACAATGTTATTTTAGCATCAATATTGGATTTTTCTTTTTAAGGTTTTTCAATAAAAAAAACGCTAAGGATTTGATTAATTTTTTTGAATAAATTTACACGAGCCAAACCTTAAATTTCCTCCGTTTGTAGCATATTCTAGATGACGACACAGAGCTTCGAACATTTCTCGAGTGGTCTGCACGTGACGTGCATCCTGCACCTCAAGATTTCTCCACTGGATACGCCCAATGCAGCGCGAGGCGTTTCTCCAAGCTAGCTTAGCCCCAAACACTAATTCTTCTGAGGTAAGATTGTAGATGTCGTTTTTCTCTACTTCAGCTTTGACTTCTTCCCACCGCTTGAAGTACTCATCACATGTATCCCTACACAAAATTAAAACTAAAACATTGACATGTCCACCTGTGTGCATGATACTAGTTAATAAGACACAAGGAAAACTCAACAGGAAATCTAGAAAACTGCAGATACAAATTCAACAATAAAGTAAGCCTAATATGGAAAACCATATTCATATAACTTCCACGATGTTTCGTCAAGATTCATTTTAAAGACCAAACATTTTTTACGAGTTCATTTAATGAAGATAGTCGTGAAAATACCACAAATGTATTTTAGAAGTTAAGATTGTTGTATTCTTCGTAAAGGCTACGCTTGTCATAGTATCAGTTTTTAACGACAAGAAATTTACAAACTCCATGCTTCACTTTCTTTAGTATGGCGTCTATTGGTTAGAAATGAATTATTACATCATACGTTTGATACTTCAATGGACACCTTTTTACAGGTCTATGATCACCGTTTTCCCGCCAAGAAAAAACGGACAGGAAGATTTTCTTCTATGGAATCCTCAGCTGCTTAGTTACGCTGGTTATCTTCAACCAGATGGCAGCACGATCGGAGATCCAGGTCATGTCCAGTTCACTCGGGTACGAGATATTGAAAACTCGAAATATATTTTATTTACTAGGATAGTTATACGTTCTTTGGCAAAACATCTTCAACCAAGCTCTTAATACAAGTGTTCTGAAGCTTTCTTTATAATATTCAAGTATACGAACAAACATATATATAAAACACTAAATTGTACAAAATAAGCAGCGTTGATGAAAAGTATTCTCGCACCTTTCATTTTGTAGGTGTGCCAGAGACTGGGATGGAAGGGAAAAGGTGGACGGTTTGATATTTTGCCCTGGATACTCTCGGCACCAGAAGAAAAGCCAAAGTTCTACGATATTCCAGACGAACTGGTACTGAGAGTCAATCTAGAACACCCTCGTTTTGAGTGGTTTGCGGAGATGGGATTGGAATGGTATGCTGTTCCTGCTGTAGCAAACATGCTATTTGATTGTGGGGGGATGGAGTTTCCTGCTGCTCCTTTCAATGGGTGGTACATGGGCACCGAGATTGGAGCCCGCGATCTATGTGACCCTCAACGCTATAACATCACTGAGGTAAGGAAACTAGAACACTAAATATATTATTAGAAACTATAATAAATCCTGTCCCTGATGGGCTTGTAAGCACATGAAAAATACTTGTCTTTATACCATATTAATTTTACAGGAAAAAGACACGTACCAGAAAAAAAAAAGTTAGACTATAGAGAATATTTCTTGTTATTGTCAAGTTTCTTGTCAATACCAATATATTTTAGTTGTGAGAGCAACTATAAATTTAATAGAATCCATAGTCTGGATTTTTTAACAACCGCGTTATCAATTTCTATAGAAAAGCTCGTCCCAAACCTAAGCCAGATAAAATACAATTTCTCGTCAGGATTGAACAATCTTTCTTTGATACATGATATTTTAAACGTGATTCATCCAGGAAGTAGCCCTGAAGATGGGACTAGACACATCAAGTCCGGCAACTCTGTGGAAGGACCAAGCGTTGGTTGAAATCAATATTGCTGTTTTACACAGCTATCAGGTAACTATTGTCCTTCTTCATTATGTCTAATGTTGAATTAAAATGTATTCAGCTATCCGTATTGCACGTGGTGGGTGTTATCACATATGGACAATACTAAGATTTAAGGCTGCTTCATCAATTACATATAATAGAATGCGAACAAAATGTACGAAAATTTAACCACAAAGCCGTTTGTATGTAAGCCTAACAACTGCAGGGGCGGATTGGCCTATCGGGATACCGGGACTTGTCCCGGTGGGCCGATAGTCCAACTCAATTTTGAGCCGATCTAC